CCGATTGGCGCCATGACGTTCTACGATTGATTTCCGACAGTCATTCCCCGATTGGATTCATCGTCTCCGATTGGCGTTCTCCGATTGGTTTGGTTCCCCTATTTTTTAGACTTTTTGCCCCTGATTGAATCATCACTTTTTCGATCTGCAGGGATTAGTTTGCCCGTATTTGAACCCTCACTTGTACCATGAGGCCTTGGCGCAGAGGCACTGATGCCCCCCCCGCTGCCTTTTTTTTAAATATAATTGAATCATCACTTTTCGAATCATCGTGGGGGGGGCTGCCGCCCCCCCCAACCCCCCTGCTCGCTACTTTTTAGATTCTTTGCCCCTAATTGTTCGATCATCATGAAAAGGGCTGCCACCCCCCCCAACCCCCCCGCTATTTTTTGGACTTTTTGCCCCTATTTGAATCATCACTTTTTCGATCATCTTGCGACCGCTACTTTTTAGATTCTTTGCCCCTAATTGTTCGATCATCATGGGGGGGGCTGCCGCCCCCCCCCGCAACCCCCCCGCTATTTTTTAGACTTTTTGCCCCTGATTGAATCATCACTTTTTCGATCATCATGGGGGGGGCTGCCGCCCGCCCCAACCCCCCCGCGCCTTTAATTGAATCATCATTTTTTCAATCATCATCTTGGGGGGGGGCAGCCCCCCCCAACCCCCCTGCTATTTTTGGACTTTTTGCCCCTAATTGAATCATCACTTTTTCGATCATCATGCGACCGTTACTTTTTAGATTCTTTGCCCTTAATTTTTCGATCATCATGGGGGGGCGGCCCCCCCCCCCCAAGGGGGGCTGCCGCCCCCCCCAACCCCCCTTTGCTGGTGATGCTGGCGATGTTGGCTGGACATGCGGGGGATGTTGAAAACGATGCTGATGATGTTGACGGACGCGTAAAATACGTACATTTCGCGAGAAAATGCTGTAAATTATAGCATTTTAGTAGCCAGGACGGAAAACACAAAATCCCAAAATAAAACAACAAAAATCCAAAATTAAATCTCGACCCTTTCTTTTATTTTTATTTTTGCGTGCTTGAGAGGTGCTGTAAACCCTACGTGGCCAATGCAGTCGGGAATGCTTAGTGGGCTTAGAAGTTTCTTTGTTCACACTTTTTGCTTGTCAAATTTTAACGGCTGAATTTGTGAAGCTGGGAGACGATTTGGCTTGAGGCCGTCGTCGCACTTTGTGTGACCTCGTCGCCAGCTGTGAACGCAAAGCTGGGGCGCGAATTGGACGCGTTTATGGCTGCATATTCGAGGTTCGCTGAATTCACTACTATGCAAACTTTTCAATCTTGGGCGGACGTGGTTTGTGTGGCGTCGGTGGCTCAGGAGCACTGCACGGAGCCCGGCTCCGGACATATGCCACGCCGTAACGCTTGCAAGTTGAGCCTTGCAGCTAGCATCGTGCGGGTTGGACCGGGCTGTTCAAAATCGTAGGGGTTGGCTCATCCTAAGATATGCATAGACCATTTGAGTGACCCAATGTCAGGATTATGCTTTGAACCGTCCAATTTTCTCAGCGCGATGCATCTTGGCAGCATGGGAAGCATGCAACACCTGCCTTGGGGACAGTGCGTTTCTATTGCCGAAGTGTTTCTTGTCGTAGCAGAGGAAATGGAAAGGAAGTGGAAAGGAAATGGAAAGAACAAGAACAGGTAATGGAAAGGGAACGGGAAGAAATGAAAAGGCCATGGAAAGTAATTGGAAAGGAAATGGAAAGGAAATGGAAAGGACATGGAAAGGGAATGCAAAGACAACGGAAAGCAAAGGGAAAGCAGATGGAAAGCGCATGGGAAAGCAAATGGAAAGGAGATGGAAAGAAAAGGGACAGGATATGGAAAGCAATTGGAAAGGACATTGAAAGGAAATGGAAAGCAGATGGAAAGGAAGTGGAAAGGACAGGGAAGGCAAATGGCAAGCGCATTCAAAGGAGATGGAAAGAAAGCGGAAAGGACATGGAAAGGGAATGGACAGCAGACGGAAAGGAAGTGGACAGGAAATGTAACGGAAATGGCAAGGAAATGGAAAGGATCTGGAACAGCGATGGAAATTGGAAAGGAAGGAGCTGGAAAGGAAATGGAAAGGAAAAGGAAAGGAAACGGAAAGCCAATGGACAGGAAATGGAAGGGAGATGGACAGGAAATGCAACGCAAACGGAAAGGACATGGAAAGGAAATGGAAAGGAAGTGGAAAGCAACTGGAAAGGAAATTGAACGGAAATGGAAACGAAATGGACAGCAAATGGAAACGAGATGGAAGGCCATTGGGAAGCAAATTGTAAGGGAAGGAAATAGCAATTGGAAAGCAATTTGAAAGGAGATGGAAAGGAAATTGATAGCAGATAAAACCACTTGAAGTGTAATTAGGGCACAGTGTAGGGCTGCGTCGCTTTGTGGCAAGCAACGTTGTCTATAAGGCCCTAGATCCCTCACTCGGAGCAGGGAGCAGACGGAGGTCGGCCTCAGGCACGGTGTAGGGGCTAAGTCACTGTCTGGCCAGCGACAGTGTCTCATGGTTGCTCATATGTTCCTTTCACAGGAGGTAGGCATTGCTTCCCGTTGGCGCAGGCAAGGGCGCCGATGCACTCAGCGCCGCGCTGGCCCGGTACTCGCCACTTGTCGATGCGCTTTGCGACGTTTTGGAGTGCGGTGCAGGTACTTCACTGGAATCACGAAGCAGCGCTGGCCTGGAGCCAAGCTGTTGTTTCGTCGCTTACGGAGCCGAGGGAGGGCGTGCGCCGGATTGCGGCCACACAGCAGCGGCGGCAGCGAGGGTATAGGAGATGTTTGTGCAGATACGGGCCAGCATCACGAAGCAGCGCTGGCCTGGACCCAAGCCGTTGTATCGTCGCGTGCGGAGCCGAGGGAGGGCGTGCGCCGGATTGCAGGCACACAGCAGCGGCGGCAGCGAGGAGACGGGCCAGCTATTTTGTCAGGACAATGCGGCAACCTCAGTAGCAGTTAGTACGGACGCACAGTGCATGGATTAGGACGCGGAGCGCATTGATTCAGCTGGCAGGTCGCCGACTTATCGAGGACGGACGCAAGGCTCCAAAGGATGGTGGATGAACGGAAGAGGCGTAACACGTCGGCGAACCAGGCGCGCAGGGTGTTTAGTGCGTATGGGCTCGCAGTACGTATACAGTCTTGCTTGAGATTATGTTTCTCAGCACGCAGGCAGTATAGGTTGGACAGGTTTGCGGCAGGTGCTATGTCATGTATATAATCCCTCAGGCTCAGGCGTGGGTAACTATGACCTACATTAAGCAGCGTGCCCCCCCCACACACCCGATGTTGAAATTTGGGGTTCGTGGTTTGTGGGAGACCAGATTCGATAGTGCATGTTTTTCGACAAACTGGCCTGCTCCGCCGTCACGCACTCGGCACAGCTACCGCCGTTGACACACGAGAGTAATGAGGGATGGAGCGATTGGATAGATGAGAAGCACGGCCCGGCGCGTCACCAGGCGACATTGTTTGTGCAATATCCTTACTACATGAGATGCAACAGTCCAAATCAATTGGGCGGAACATCACATTTGGGCCACCATGGTCATCGGTGTTTACACATTTAAGGGTCCATACAAACAGCCATGGTAGACCCCATGCTTTGGTGTGGCTCACATGTTTCTTGATGACTTCTTCGCCGCTCAAGCGGCACCCATCTGCAAGCCTTGCATTTGGGGAAACGGGAAGGCCGAACGATTTGCAAATCAAATCTCACCAATAGGGAAATTTAGGCGGCCGTTTTTATACCCTTGAGGTGGCACCATGCTCAAGCGGCCATATTTCCTGTCCGCTTCATGGAACCCTGGTTTAAATGCGGCTAGCAAGATCCCTCTGATTACCAAATACTTTGGTGTACTCGTGTAGAGGCGTTCTGAAAATTACTTTTGGAAACCCTTTACACCACATTCACCAGCCGGGATTGGAATCCCAAAAAACTTTGTTTTGAACAATCAGCCCACGCAACATCTTTTTACCAAATGGGAAGGATAGGTTTGTTGTTGCTGGGGTCCCTCCGATATTGTTCTTTTTTGGGTTGACTAAAAAAGAAATTTTGGGTTGACTAAAAAAGAAACATATTCTGAACATGTTATTGTTGGTGCACCTGGGTTGGGCCAAGGTTGACTTGTAGGAGAGTGCTAAGACAAGACAAGAGCTAGACGGAAGGCCAGGGTTTTTGGGTTGTCCACTTGCTGCTTTTTGTTGACCATCATGCATTTTGCACCATAGGTTGGGAATAAGGCTGGTGCCAATTGTAAGGACAACTCTTGTTTCCTTCTTGCCTGATTTTGCCCAGTCCGGTGTTGTTTTTCGTCCTCCTTGTTTCTTCTTCCATTTGGCTTGTTTTGTTTTCTTTGGGCGTTTTTCCCTGGACAAGTAACAAGTTTCCCGGTTCCGTATCTCCTCCTTGTTGGCGGCTTTAGGCATCACATGGGTTGGAAATCTAGCTTGGGCCCCATGCTAACAGTAGGTTTCCAGTTGCCACTCTTTTGGGGTGTTTCCGCAAGGCGCTTGTTTTTTGTTCGTTTTCTCCTCATATATCTGGTGTGCAATCATCCGAGTTTTGTTTTCCCAGGAAGCTGAAGGGGCGCCAGCCCTTTGTGGAGCCCGCCCTTGTCCCGCCCTATATGTTGGCCTATCCCTTGCATGGAACGGGGATGATCACCCTGGGCTCTGACTGGTTTCCACCTTCACTGTGTGTTTTGTTTGATTCATTTGAATTGAATTGGTTTTGATTCGATTTGACTTGAACTGCTTGCTTGACTGACTAACTGACTGACTGATTGATGGATGGATAATGCATGGATCGATCGATTGATTTTGCATGATTCTCCCTGTCCTTTTTTTTTTGGTGTTTTCTTGTTTTCAGCCGAGCCCCGGCAGCTTTCTTGTTTTCCATTTCCGTCCTCCGCTGTTTCCCCGTGTTGCTGAGCCCTTGACTCATCCACGCGGAGTGGCTCGCTCGACACCGGCACTGCTCAGGCAGCTCCTGGAGGTGCTCCAGGAGTCTGGCCAGGAGGCGCGCGGTGAGCGCTTTGCTTCGGCGCTTGCTCGTGTGGAAGGAACGCGGGGGGAGGGGAGCCGCTGGGGGTTCTTGTAGAGTTAGAGGGGTAAACGGGAAACCACTTATCCAAACCACCAAACCACCGATTTGGCTCCAAGCCACCCTTTTCTTGCTGATGCTCAGCGAACGACCGAGACCGGGTGTTGGGAATGAACCGTTTGGGGATTCCCTTCTATTGGAAACCAACAGTTGGATGGCTTATAGTATTATAGGGGTCATTCCATTTTTTCTCATTCCCACCAGTCAACAGTTGATCAATTTGCTGGTCATGACGGCAGTGACTGGGGCCAGCCCCCTTCATAACCGCGGTTCCACTGAAGTGGTTGGAACATCCAAGTACGCAGATTAGAGGTCTGGGTCTTCATTTTTCGGGTCCCTAAGGAACGTGGTTCAAGCCAGGACGCCCTTGTCAGGTTCCAATTGGGAGGGTATCAGTCCCCAAAACACTGGCAAACAAGCTGTTTTCCTCCAGAACCTTCCAAGGCTGGCTTTTTCCATTCTTTGCCTGTGCTTTTTTTTGTGCGCCGTTTTGGGTACAACTGGACCCTTGGAGGGTGCTGGCTGTAGCCCCCTTTTGACGCCAGGTGCCGCCGGAGCTGGCGGCCCTCTCGGTCGGGGAGGGCCGGGCACGACACAGCCAGGTGCGAGCCACACGAATCGGGGAAGGTGTCGGGGGAAGGGACGGGTGTTGGGTGTGTCGTTGGGTTAGACCCACCACCCCCGAAAAAGCATCAGTGTTCTCCATATTTGGCCTCCCAACAGGAGAAACGACACCCTTGTTCGGGTTGGAGCCCGCTCCCGCTTTTCTGGATATTCACATGTAGACCAAACAGGAGGCCCCGGGAAGGAGGACTTTTGGGTTCCATGTAACTCATGTGCAGGGAGTAGTAAGGGACGGCCCTTTCAAGTCTTTGCATGGGTTTTGGGTAGAGCAATTCAAGGCCAGGCTTCAATTGTGATGAAATTTCATGTCAATGTGCCCTTCTGCTGGCTTGACTCGGGACTTTCCAACAAGCTCTCGGGGATTCAATGAGAACAATCAGCACTGCATGTTGGTTAAGCGCTTTGGGACTTGGAATTGCCAATGCTGATGGAGAGGATGCGTCCATCACCAACGTCTTGTTCCCCCCAACACCTTCAGCATCACCTGCCCAAAGGTCTCTTGCCGAACCGTTCGGAACCATACTTGAACGATGATCCTAGGGTGGCTGGTTGCGAAATCCATTTCTCACCTTGAAACCATGGTTGAAACCCTTTGCTTGTTTCGTATTTACAGGGGAATCAGCATTCCATCCATCACCATCCAGCGTCAGCAAGCATTTTATGAAGATGCCATCAGCATCAGCAGCCACGGGTGTCCAGGGGTGCAGATACTCACTTGCCCAAAGCCGACCTTTATACCTTTTGGTTTTCCATTTTGGTCCATTTTTAGTAACGGTCCCAAAAGGTTAGCCTTTTATTTTCCTGGTCCTTTGGGCAAGTGAGGATAACATGATCAACTTCCTGACTAGACATACCGTTTGACGGGATTCATGAGCTTGGCTGGGTCACTTGCAGACCGACTTTGGTGTCATCAACTTGGTATCTACGACGTATAGTTCCGTGCGAACCTGCAGAGAGTGGTAGGAATTGGCGGAGCTCGACGAAAATAAACCACAACTTCAAAAATTAATGTTTTTTTACAGGGTCCAGTGCCCTCCCCCCTCGATGACTTTATTGATATTTTGACTTCATTCGGTTTTGGTTTGGGCTTTTCGACTTTTCGAATTTTTGTCTGGACTTTTCTACTTCGGATTTCGATTTGACTTTTCAACCTTTCGGTTTTGGTCCAGCAAGATGTGGGCTGCTAGAGCGCGCGGGTGTTGTCTCTAGTAAAAGCTTGGTAACCTGTTCGACCATTTTGTTTGCGACTTTTTCGATTTGGTGAATCGAATTTTCACCTCAGCACGGCAACTCTGCTGCGCCAGCACAGTTTCGAACATCCCCCAATTCAAGCCTTACTTTTTATGGCTGGCGTCTTCCCTAGTGATGTCCCGCGCCAGGGTGGCTGGAGATAGCTGAGAGTGTGCCTTTGGCGACGCCGAGTTTTGGCGGGTCGATCAGCCCAAAGTCCGAAGATCGGCTCCCTGGTGGCGAATGGAGTGGCAGCACTTTACACGTACGCCTTAGTGGCTGTTGGAGTTTGCTCACATCCTCAATCAAGTGCCACAACTACAAAACTGATGGTTTGTGCTTTGGCTGCTCCCCTTAACGTGGAGGAAAGAAGAGAAAACACGGTTGGTTCAATACTGCAACGCACTCACTCCGATTTTACTGCAAGCATGCCTTTTTATGTTCAGCAAACACTGCGCTAGGAAATGCTGTCCCCTACCCAACTTGAGAGATTAAGAGCTTTCTCAACTGCATTGGCCGCTGGACGAGTATATTTCATCTCGGTCAAGCTGACCCGTTTGCAACCACCAACTAACTCCAGGGTTTTGGCCAACGCATCATCGGCTCCCCCGCGATCCGCGATCAATCGATCGGTGGAACTGGGCATGGCAAGAGGGATGCGCCTGCCCAAAAAAATCCGCGAAGTCTTTTTGACAATGGCACACGTGTGATCCCAACACCCCGGCAACACCCAAGTTAGTTTCTTTGCGTTCTTTGTTTCTCATGGACTCCTTGCTTTGACCCAGAGAATGCTAGCAGACAGATCGTGTTCGTTCCAGCCCGCGGGCTGTCGGCGAGAACCGACTGTTGGCCTGGCTGACGGCTGACCAGAGGACCGGAGGGCAGCGCGTATAAAAGGCCGTGTTACGCGTGCCAACTCAGCCGCTCAGAGGCCCCGCTGAAGCACCGAGTTGGCACAGGACGGGGTGGTGTTGCGCTTCTGTTGGTTTTGGAGGGACGTCAAAAGAGCGGTCCCCTGAGCAACTCGAACCTGGGGACCCCAGGATGGTGAGGCACAGGTAGCTCAAAGCGCAAGACGCTGACCTGAGAGCAGCCAAGAAGTTCGCCCATGCTGATGTCGTTCCAATGGTTGAGTCCTCGTGCTCTTCTGAGAAACCACACAACTTGGTGGAAAGCCCAGCCAGACGGCTCCTTAGCTTTTTAGCTTTTTGGTGTTTAGCGGTTGGAGTTCCATTTAACCCACTAGAAGTTAGTCACTCCAAATTTAGCGGGGGATCGGAGGACAGCCCAGACAGTGTTGCCTGGCGTTTGGGCAATTTCCTTCACGAACACAATGGGGAGGGTGCAGCTAGAGGGCTTGAGACATTTTGGGACCTGCCCTCGAGACTCCACTTCCACGGGGTCGAAATGCGGCCGAGGGCACACTGCCACGGCGATTTTCTTGGTCATGGACGGGGGGACCATCCCTCAAGCCTGGGATCCCTCACCAAGGCATGGCTTGAAAGGTTTCAGCCCCCCACAAATAACTTCCCAATGGAACCTGGAGAAAGATTGGGAAGGTCATGGTGACATCTTCTGGGGCCGTAATCCACAAACACACCACTTGGATAAAATGATTGGCCGGCTTGCTGTCGCTCATACCGTATGCTTCTTCAAGCGGGTTGGTAAACCAGGGAACCAAAAGGACTCGTTTTGTACTTCCACTGGTAGACTTTTGCTCGGCTAGCGCAATTGACCTTTTGTTTTGAGCCTGGTTTGTTTGGTTCAGTCTCCCCGCCGACCCTTTGGGTATGTGTCAAAACAGGCGACTTCATGAAACCAACCAACAAAGGGACCAACTCAGCAAAAACCCGCCCCTTCGTTGTGGGAGCCCATTAAACCAACCAAAAAGGACAAACAACGGCCCCTTCTTTCGTGGTCTCCTTTGGTTTCCATTCAACCAACCGAACACCATGTGAGCCACAATCAAAACCCGGTAGATGAAGGTTAGTAAGGGACGATCCCAGACAGAAATAGCTGCGGCCGCCTTCTTAAGTCTTTAACTTTACATTTTTCTGGGTCATGGTTGACTCATGTGCATGTTCGAACCATCTACTTATTCTGGGTCATTTTTATTCTTTACATGGTTCGGCCATTTTTGTACCGGGTTTTGATTTTGACTCGTGTGCATTTCCCCGGCGAAGTTGCCGAGCTTTCCGGCCCACACAAAACCGGGGCTCCCGGAGCCCTCCTACAAGCAAAAACGAACGGCTGGCCTTGGCCTCGGGGCGGTGCTGTGGCAGGTGGTGGCCGGGCAAAAAGAGCTCCAGGACAAGGTGAAGCTGGAGCATCAGCTCAAGGAGCCGGCGCTTCTGGTTGGTTTGTGTTGGTTGGGCTTGATTTGTTTGGGTTCGGTTTGTTTGGTTTGGTTTGGTTGATTGAGGTAGTTTGTTTTTTTGGCTTGGATTGGTTTAGTTGGTTTGGATTGGTTAGGTTTACTTGTGCTTTACTTGTCTTCCAATTCTTCACCTCCCCTCACTTCTCATTTTGCATGGGGAAGACTCACCAAGATGAGCTCAGGAGAAGGTGGGCATCTTGGAGTCCCAGGCCGGCGGTCTCACAACTGTAAGGCGCCTTTGCTCGTTCTTTCCCGGGTGGAAGTTTTGGTGACCTGATTGGCCATCCTGATATAAACATATATATATATATACACACTTATATGTATATATATGTATATACATGTTATATTATATAGTATTGTATATACAGAGAAATCGACCTAACAGCACGCACACAATGCAATGCAATGCCACTACAACTTTTGGCACAGCTCACCTGGAAGTCCGTAGAGTTAGACCCTGAATGGCAACGGTATGCTGAAGGCATTCGATATCACAAACGGTGCAGGGTCCAGTACGTGACCCTCTACTTTGTGTGGTTGCTTCACTTGTGGCGATTAGGAGCCCATTGTTCGTACAGTTTATCTCAGATTCTTTCAACAAAGGCCAGCAACCATGCTTACCTACCTGAAGTTCTGGGACCATTGGGTCGTGACCCGTAACTTGTGGGCGATGAGCGCACCCATCCCTTTAAACAATAGGTTGGCAAGCCCTGCATAGGCGCGTTTCAGCATGGTTGCGATTGGGTGATCATGGTCATCGTCATCAATGGTCATCGTCGCCCCTATGGTTTTAAGCATTGACAGCTGAGCTGTCTCACTTCAGCAACGGGCCAAGCGGCCGGTGTGCATGCGTGTAGACATGCTGTGGGGCCAACTATCATGAAGAACAGTTGTATGAACGTATCGTGTATTTACAGTCTTCCTCGCAATTTGCCCTCCCCACGGGACTACCAGCTAAGAGGTACGCGTGCGCGAAATTCCTTGCAACATGCAAGCCGGAAGAGTGTAGGGGGCAGGCAAAAACTGTGAATCCTGGAGTTTTGTCAGTGTTGGCAGCATCAACCAATGGAATCAAAATAAATTGAACATACCCGCACCAGCTTTTGTCAGGTGCAGCAACATGTGGCGGAGGAGACTCGGCTGCGCCAGGCGCGAGCCGGCGAGAGGTCAAGAGGCTTTAAGCCGCGAGGCCCTAGTTCTTGTGGACCATTAAATGGGAAGCCCCTCCTTAACCACCACCACCAATCCAAACCACCAACTAGAGGCAAGCTGATTCCAGAAAAGCGCCAGACGTCCAAGGGCTGATTTTTTGCAAAGAAGGCTGGTAGACGCGTCCAGTAAATTCGTCTAAGTCCCATGTTTATGTGGAAAGTACCAAACATGGGGACCAAGCCCAAAAAACTGGGGTGGGGAGGTGGGGAAGGGTGGGGCGTGGGTTCCCTCCAAAGCAGGCAATTTAGGATCTCGCATGTTTCCTTCAATGGCTCCCTCTAAATATGTAGTTGCTTGCTTGCGTGGAAGCCAAAAATGGAATCAACCAACCAATGTCTTCCATTCCGGGCCCCCCCCAAAATGGCATTCCTTTGGGCTTGCCCTGGAAACCAACCCAAAACGGGTACCAACCAAAGAGGGTCCAATTATATTTGACTGTTCGGGCCACTGGGCGGTCTGTCGCCATTCAACAAAGTACCGGCGGAAACCTCAGGCAGCAGCCACTGTGAATGGTATTCACTGAAAGCACTTGAACACGACTATTTTTAGGCAAGCCTGCGTCTGTGTTGACTGTTTTTTTGGGTGGATGTGTTAAACCTGTTTTTTTCCATTTTTTTTTTAAATATATATTTGTTTTCACACACACAACCACGATGTCTTTTTTCGCCAAATGCAATGCGAGTGGCATTGTGTTGGGGAAGTTTTGGGAAAAGGCGGCCCGTTGGTCTACACTTGTGCTAGGGGATTTTCGAAGCCTCATGGGGATCACACCTCATCTCTCTCGTTGCCTTTCAGGTTGCCTTGTGTTTTCTCTTCTTGGACGTTCCACCCGTAAGTAGGAAGCCAAGGTAAAGGAGCCTTCCCGGATTACCCTAGTTATGCTGTAGTACCCATGGTCGTAACCTACTACGTGGATTGAACATCTAAGTGCCTTCCACCCCCTTGTTCTCACCAACTAAGACCCCCCACAAGTTGTCTTTCTCCTCCTTGGTGACTTTACTGACCACCTTGCTTGACGTGGATTGAACATCCAAGTTGGGCCAGAGCGGCCAGAGCTTTCCTGCTTGCTCTCAGGGAAGAAATGACGCCCTTGACGCCCTCTAAATCAATTCCACCCCAACTCGAACACCCCACCCAACACTCAACTTCCAACTCCGCCCATCCCACCCTGCGGTTTCCCTTCACAGGATCCCACGCCTCATTCCGAAGACCCTGTTGACGGAGCTTCGGCTTGGCCTTCAGGACGTGCTGCGCCTGCAGACGCTGGCGGACGAGCGGGAGCTGGCGCTGGAGAAGAGCCAGAAGCGACAGGAAGCCTCCGGAGAGCAGGCAGGGGACGGGGACGGGAGGTTTCCACTGAGTGCCCCCGTTTTTGGTTTGGGCGGGAGTTTTCAAGTCCCACCAATTAACTCATGGAACCTGACGAAACCGGGAAACGGCCCTTTAAGGGGTAGACACATCCAGGCAATCCGCCTTTGGTTGGTTCATGGTGCGCATGATTATACAAATAGACTCCTGGTTTCTTCATGGGTTCCTTTTTTTTGAGCGTGTTTCAGGGGCAATCGTGACACT